AAAAATTTTGTTGTTGTTGTTGTTATTTTAAAAGAAGACAAGGAAAGAACTAATTTGGAATATAATAGGGGAAAACTGTGTAAGCTAACTAATAGAAATGCAGTCTGACAGACTGAGAGGGAGCTCCTACTCGCTCTGTCCGCTGACGAGGGCGGTTGAAGAGGAACTGAAAGGGAGGGGGTTGAGCCGCGCGCTACAGAAGGCGGGAAGGGCTCGAGACGCCTTCTGAGCATGCGTGCCTCAACAGGGGGGAAACTGCTTTGCAAAGCTCCGATCTGCGGCTCAGGGCGATCCTTCACCTAGAGTGGAGCACCCACGGGGACACACATCTCGAAGAACACTCGTTACTGCACGAGGTGAGTAACTCCCTTCTTCCACCTCAGCCTTATTATTGGATTTGTACAGATAATGGGGAGGCCTGAAGCAGAACTTTTGAAGGGGCTCTCGAGGACATAGGATCTGGTATTGGAAACTGATACAGCCTCCCCTTTTGTTTTGTAAAACTGTCTTTCCTATCTCACCGTGACATGGTCCCTCGTCATCTCAGACTGTTGGCCGTTGAATACGATAGAAAAAGATTTTCGTCAGATTTCTTTCACCCCTTCATCTCCCCCCATTTCCATCCTTCTTCAGTGACTCTTCTCACGAACAGCTTCTTGTTCAGTAGGTACAATCCCTTCTTTGGATAGAAGTTGTGAACAGGGTGCCTCAGAACTTGGTACGTTTTACTCTTGCTATTTCCTAATCCCAAAGGTCAGAAGGGTTCTTTGACTTATCCTACACCTATCAGTTAGCTCAAGAAACTGAGGTTCCACATAATCTCCCTGGCCTCCATTATTCCCTCCCCGGATTCAGGGATTTGGTACGCTACTCTCGACTTGAGACAGCTATTTCCACGTCTCTGTTTTCCAGGTCCACAGAAGGTTCCTCAGACCCATTACCAATTTACTGTCCTCTTCGCACTGTGGCCAGGTTTTTACAAAATGCATGGTAATGGTGGCAACCTTACTCAGACAGCAAAATATTCAATTTAGTGCTTACCTGGATGATTAGCCAATCAAGGACTGCTCCAGAGCACAATTGAGAGTCAGCTTTTATCTGGTCTGAGCCCTGGGCTTATCGATTAAATTAATACAAACTGTCTCTTGACTCTTGTTGCTGTCCAGAGATGCTTATTCTACTTGGGTCAGAGCCTTTCTCCCAGAGGCTCACTTACCTACAATGTTGGTTGTGATATTGAAGGTGAAGGCTCACAGTGTCACAGCTGCTCAAATGGTCACATAGCTGCATGCTCTTATGTGCTATAGCATGAAAATCTGTACCGCAGAGCCCTTTAAGCTTGGCTAGCCTTGGTGTACTTACTGAGCCATCATCATTTGGACTCAGTGCTTTCAGTTACCACTCTGATTCTTGTTTCTCACAACTGGTGGAGGCATCACTGCTCAGTGAGCATGGACAGTTCTGTGTCACTTCAGACATCAGTATTCCTAATCTTGGACATGTCTGCTCTAGGTTGGGGGCTCACTTCAAACACCTCATTGCACATAAATATCAGATCACTCAGAGCAGTCTCCCTCGCGTGCTGGGTCTTTCCACCTCAGATCACAGGCAGAGTAGTGAGAGTGCTCATAGACAGCACGGCAGCCATACGTTACATCAGTGACAGGGAGAAGAATGCTTATTCATTGAGCGTTCCTGCCAAAGTTGTTCTTGCAGTTTCATCATAATCTGGTTATTTTCCTGGCTGTTTTCTTCCCAAAACGTCACAGAAATATGGAGGAGCAGCTTTTCCGCAAGTGGGATGTTAGTATTCCCTGGACTTCGACAGTGAGAAAACCAAGCCGTTCTGTAAATCGCACAGCTCTTTGTGGCAGTAGTAGACTGGATGAAAGACCTACCAGTTTCAGTTCAGAGAATATCATCTTGGATCATTTCCTGTATTTTGTATGAGCTATGAGCAGACCAGATGTCCCACCTTCTGCCATCCTGACAGCCCGTTCAGTGAGAGTTTAGGCTTCATCCGTAATGTTTCCGTTCCAGTTTCCAATCCAAAACATCTGCAGAGAAGTGACATGGTCATCAGTACCTATGTTATCCTCCCACTGCACCATTACCTAGCAGGCTAGAAGTGATGTCCACCTTAGAATCATAGAATAATAGGACTGGAAGGGACCTCGAGAGGTCATCGAGTCCAGCCCCCCGCCCTCAAGGCAGGATCAAGCTCCGTCTACACCATCCCTGACAGATGTCTATCTAACCTGTTCTTAAATATCTCCAGAGAGGGAGATTCCACCACCTCCCTTGGCAATTTATTCCAATATTTGACCACCCTGACAGTTAGGAATGTTTTCCTAATGTCCAATCTAAACCTCCCCTGCTGCACTTTAAGCCCATTACTCCATGTCCTGTCCTCAGAAACCAAGAGGAACAAATTTTCTCCTTCCTCCTTGTGACACCCTTTTAGATATTTGAAAACCACTATCATGTCCCCCCTTAATCTTCTTTTTTCCAAACTAAACAAGCCCAGTTCATGAAGCCTGGCTTCATAGGTCATGTTCTCTAAACCTTTAATCATTCTTGTCGCTCTTCTCTGTACCCTTTCCAATTTCTCCACATCTTTCTTGAAATGTGGCGCCCAGAACTGGACACAGTACTCCAGCTGAGGCCTAACTAGCGCAGAGTAGAGCGGCAGAATGACTTCACGAGTTTTGCTTACAACACACCTGTTAATACAACCTAGAATCATATTTGCTTTTTTTGCAACAGCATCACACTGTTGACTCATATTCAACTTGTGGTCCACTATGACCCCTAGATCCCTTTCCGCCATGCTCCTTCCTAGACAGTCGCTTCCCATCTTGTATGTATGGAACTGATTGTTCCTTCCTAAGTGGAGCACTTTGCATTTCTCTCTATTAAACCTCATCCTGTTTACCTCCGACCATTTCTCTAACTTGCTAAGGTCATTTTGAATTATGTCCCTATCCTCCAAAGAAGTCGCAACCCCACCCAGTTTGGTATCATCTGCAAACTTAATAAGAGTACTCTCTATCCCAATATCTACATCATTGATGAAGATATTGAACAGTACGGGTCCCAAAACAGACCCTTGAGGAACTCCACTTGTTATCCCTTTCCAGCAGGATTTAGAACCGTTAACAACAACTCTCTGACTACGGTTATCCAGCCAATTATGCACCCACCTTATCGTGGCCCTATCTAAGTTATATTTGCCTAGTTTATCAATAAGAATATCATGCGAGACCGTATCAAATGCCTTACTAAAGTCTAGGTATATGACATCCACCGCTTCTCCCTTATCCACAAGGCTCGTTATCTTATCAAAGAAAGCTATCAGATTAGTTTGGCATGACTTGTTCTTCACAAACCCATGCTGGCTATTCCCTATCACTTTATTACCTTCCAAGTGTTTGCATATGATTTCCTTAATTACCTGCTCCATTATCTTCCCTGGGACAGACGTTAAACTGACCGGTCTATAATTTCCTGGGTTGTTCTTATTCCCCTTTTTATAGATGGGCACAATATTTGCCCTTTTCCAGTCTTCTGGAATCTCCCATGTCTGCCATGATTTTTCAAAGATCATAGCTAAAGGCTCAGATACCTCCTCTATCAGCTCCTTGGTTTCATAAAATGTGATAACATGCCTGCAAAAACAAAAAAGGGTGGGCCAAGTGAGCTTTTATGTGACTTAAACCTCCCCCTTCCCAATGCTAAACTTTCCATTTCACCCTGTTGGGTTTTTCAAGTGTTGAGAGATGTCCTTTTGGTATTTCAAATTGCTTGTGATACAGCCACTATATCTTGTATCTTGACAATGTCATGCATCCAGACCATACTCAGTAAATAGGCTGTTTTTCTTTCACATAGTGTATGACTTGAGATACAGCACTCTGGCTATGTCTAGACTGCAAACCTCTTTCGAAAGAGGCTCTTTCGAAAGCATCTTTCGAAAGAGCCTCTTTCAAAAGATCGCGTCTAGACTGCAGGCGGATCTTTTTTTCGAAAGAAAGCATCCAGTGAGTCTGGATGCTCTCTTTTGAAGAAGCCCTATTTACATTGAAGAACGCCTTCTTTCGAAAGAGGAACTTTCGAAAGAAGGCGTTCTTCCTCGTGAAATGAGGTTTACTGCCATCGAAAGAAAAGCCGCGTTCTTTCGATTTAATTTCGAAAGAACGCGGCTTGAGTCTGGACGCAGGGGAAGTTTTTTCGGAAAAAGGCTACTTTTTCCGAAAAAACCCCTGAGTCTGGACACAGCCTCTGTGTGAGAGTCACCATCACTCTCTTACAGTACATCTTTGTATGCTCTTTCCAAGATGAAGAAAAATATATTTCAGTGCCCAAAGGAAGGAGCTGTGTGTGCAGAGGTTACTAAATGCTGCTGGTTCCTCTGCTTCACTAGTCTCGCAAGGGAAAAGATATGAAGATAAGATGACTATAAAGCATAATTGCGGGTTCCTAAGATGCAAGGGCATTCACAGTGACATTTGCTTTCTCTGATTTATAATTAGTAATAGATCTCTTAGAATACCTGTGGTTAAACAAGTCACATGTAGTTTGGGAAAGTGGGAAGCTTAATTGGATATCCTGTATTTGAGAAATTAATGGACTATCATTGCTCTAGACTGTTGTCTAAATCAGTGAGTCATTGGGTTAACTGTTCAATCCTGGCTTCTTATGCAGGAGTTGTCCTAGTCAGGTTACTGTACTAAATGGACCATGTGTCTCATCCATTGTGCATTTCCTATATTTCTAAAATAAGTATTTGTAGAAAAGGACCAACTTGTACATCTGACCTGTTGGAGGATGTATTGAATTTATATGGATGTAGTCTTAGTGATAAAAGAGCAGTTTAAGAATGGAAAATAGAAGGTGTTATCTTTTGTGAAAAGTAGCTAGATATAAAGGGGGCAAACTGTTTGCTTTTTAAAGATGATTACTTACTAATATATTTAATGTAACATTCCTACTTTTTTTAGCCAGGTTATGATGAGATCAATCCAGAGTGCAGACTTTCTGTTGAAAAAAGGAAGAAAATAAGAGGTGAGGTGTAGTCAAATTATTATTTTAAACATTGATGTCCTGAAAAAAAATACATTGTTTAAAGGAAATAGGTTTTAATTAAAATCTTGTATAGTATAGTTGTCAAAAATGTGCATCTTTAATTTGCAGTTCATCCTACTTTAATGAATGTCAGCATGCAGATGTTTTAAAATAATGATAGACACGCTTTGCAGTTGAAATATCCTTTTATTTATGGTTACAGATAATATAGGGGTTTTTCATTCATGGTGAATCAGAAGGTTGTGTATCCTGGCTTCATAGAAGGCTTAATGCTCAGCAAAAAATCTGCCTGTCTTGGAAATATGGGAAACAATAAATAGCATGCGGCAGAAATTTTCAGAGTGCCCCAGGGAGCCTCTTGGGATATTTTGCATCCCTTAGAATGAACATGATCCATAGAACTTCTGAATCCTATGGAGATCAGTGGACTTCAGAACCCCAGCTCTAGCCTGAACTGCAACTTCAAAGTGCTGTCTGGATAGCTATTTGTGGAATGCTGATGTGAGCCCTACTAGAGAAGATTAGCTCCCACAGGCTCGGTAATGCAATGTAGACGTACCGTTGGAGTTCATAGTGCTGAATACAGATTTCGTATTTAATTTAGTCTTTCCCCTCCACATTAGCATGGTGAATTTTAAAAGGTCAGGAACAAATTACAACACTATAGGAGGAGGTTGGTCTGCCTTCTTGTCTTATTAATATTTTAGATGATAGCATGTTTTAATGTTTTTTAATAAATGCAGTGTTAGTGCCATGCTTGTACATTGGTATCAGAACAATGTCTACAAATCTAGTAGATAGTTTTCAGTGCAAAAGAGCTACTATCGTCATGCTTCCACTGATATTCCTTGTTAATTTATTTGTATTGCTGTTGTACCTCTTGGTCTCAATCATAGATGAGGAGTACATTTGACTAGGGTAATTGTGGGCCTAGCTATTAGAGGTTACAATCTGAGGGTATGTCTGCACCGCATGTCTCTTTCAGGAGACCCTGCATTTACACAAGCCGCCTCTTTTCGAAATAACAGGCACGCTGTTTCACCATCCCGGTAAAACTTGTTGCACAAGGGATAAGGAATGGCTTGAAATAGCATGTTGTTTCAAATTTGGCACCGTGTAGACATGCCAAATTTTGAAATAGATTTGAAATAAGATACGCAATTTGTATAGTGCAAATTGTGTATCTTATTTCAAGTTTAGGGTGCTGTGTAGATGCACCCTAAGTGACCTTGTATGCACAATCACAGTAAAGATTTATCTAGGAGAGAGGTGAAACAGTCCAGTTACAAGAGAATAAAGTTATTTTTGCCCAATTACATGACTTGATTTAAAACCAACAAAACCTTTCTTGACACTAGGGATGTAAAAGGTAAACCGGTTAACCAGTAAGCCTCCCCTTGAACTGGTGAGGCCTACTAGTTCCAGGTAAGTGGTATGGGCTGGAGCAGCTTCCCGCCCACCCCGGGCAGGTGGCTGCTCCAGCTTCGCTGAGCCCGTGGGAGCAGCCCCTGTCCATAGCTCTTCCTTCCTCCCCCCATCACAGGTTACATGCTGATTTCTGTGGAGCGGGAGCAGCAGCAGAACCCACAGCAAAGCTGCCTCCCCAGGAGTGAGGTCAGCAGCAGCCCTTTCTGGCCCTGTTCCCAGGGAGGCTTCACTGCAGGCTCTGTAGTATAAAGATTATTTAAGTTTTATACAGCAGAGCCCACAGTGTGCGCTCAGATTTTAAAACACATTTTTCCATCCCTACTTAACACCATGTTTGCCTGCGATCAGAGTGGAAATCTTCCAAGAATGCAGAGTTTCAGTATAGTTCTTCTAGTAGTATCCCTGTGGGTGCTCTACTTTGAGGTGTGCCACGGAGACTTTTGAAGCAGTGCCTCCTCTCCTTCCCTCCACTCCCCCCACCCCTTGGTCAACTGTGCATGCTTTTGAAATGGCCGTCCCACGTGCACAGTCAACCACACCTCCTCAGTTCCTTTCTGACCGCTGCTGGCTTCAGTCACAGCAGAGCAGTTGTCCTCAATTGAGTTTCCTACTATTTTCAGGTTTAGTGTTAATAGTTCAGTTTTTAGTGTTAATTAGATTAGATTAGCTGTTACTTGTTATATACCAAAAAAAAAGAGAGGAGGAGAAATCCTTCCTTCCGCTTATTGGGAGCTGCGGTTACTACACTGCGTGCAGTTGTGGTCTCAAGCCTTAGAGACCTTTTTAAAACTGCCTGTATCCCAGGATGTGCCTGGTTCCCCGGGATTCTAAAAGTGTGAATCCTGCAAATTGTCAATCTCAGAATCTGACGGACACTCAGGATGTGTCCCTGCCTTAGTCAGGACCACAACTCTGAACGCAATGCCTGAAATTGACTAGCAGGGGAAGGCGAGCTTGGGCACTCCAACTTAAACTACTGCAGCTCGAAAGCTTCAAGAACTGCCTTGGAGTCAGCCCAAATTTTGCCCGCAGACTTATGTCACCTGGGGAGGCACCTGACAATGGGACTGCTCCTTGCTGAAGCCCCAGGGACCAGGACAGGGCTCAAACACCCAAGAAGAGGTCCACTCCTTGGTGGGGTCCAATTCCTTGCCGAGGAAGCACTTGGCAAGCAAGAAGTCTGTCTTCGCACCCGCTGTAGCTAAAGGGCTAGAGAAACAGACTGGGTATGGGACCGGCACCTATAAAATCAGGGGCCCCAAAGAGAAGGACTGACCATCTTCCATGAAGCCAAGCATGGAGTTAAAACAGAGGAGCTCTACACCGGCACCGGCGAAAGCATCAGCACCAGCGAGATTGTGATCAGTGTTGGCACTGAGCGCTTTAAATATAAGTGCCTACAGTGCTGTCATCGGCTGAACGCACGAACGCACTTAACAAGCATCTAGGGTTGCCAGGTCTCCGGTTTTTGAACCCAACAGTCCAGTATTTGAGCTTTCTGTTCGGGAAACAAATTGAGAAAATATAAATGTCCGGTATTTTCTAAATAAGATGTAATGTAGATTGTGATGTAATGTCAAGTGTGTCCGGTATTTTTGTTGAAACTATCTGGCAACCCTACAAGCAACCAGCACCAGCTCAAGCTTCAATGCTGGTGTCGATACTACAAATGCCTCCAGTGCCCATCCTGCTCCCCCCACCTCCTCTGTCTCGGTTTACCACCATAGTAGATATGATGGTGGCATTAGTACCGGGAATGCCACTCTTTGGCACAGATGGCACCTCACATACCTCTAGATGCAATTTTTCTTCAACACTGGCTTTGACCTCGCCTATAATGAGTGACAATGACGATGATCAACCTATACAGACACATACTCCCAGAAGTTCGTCACTTAAACTGACGCAGCAAGTATAGCAGTGGCAACAGCCAGAATGGTTTCCGCCAGCCAAATGGCTGTATTGGGGCCTGTGGGCTGCAAAGAGAGTTCAACAACCTCAGCAGCTGCAGCTGCCGTAGGCACCCAGCCTCAGGTCCCCGTGCCTACTTCTCAGAGAATGAAGAGAAAGTTAACATCACAAAAGGGACAGAGTGAACAACAGATTCGCATCCATCTACACTTTTTTCGTCCTCATCACCTGATGACATAATCCTTAAAACGGTGATTAACATGATCAGAATAGTTTGCAATAGAAAGAACAGCATCTGCCATGTTTTGGGAAGACTGGTGTAGCTAAACAGTTCAGCTGTTGTATAAAATCATTGCCAGGTAGTGAGAGATCAGCATTCCAAATCAGAGAAGAGCCCAAGGAAAGCGTGTTGATAAAATATTACTGCAATTTAAATGCTGACATTCCCACACTTACACAGTTTCTGATATTGGAATTATGTATGTAATAAAGTTCAAATGAGAATAATTCAAAGTAAAAAGAATGGACTGGAGTGAAATGAGAGTTTGCTGTAATATTTAGAAAATAAGGCAATGTCTATCTTCTGTGAAGATTGACCTCTAACTTCATAAGCAAATAGTTGCCTTGGAGAATTTTAGATTGTAATTCTTTTTAAAATGTCATCTTCACAACTATATTTTCTCCCTGGATGGTCCTCAAGGAGTTCTGCATTCACTTGTGGCATGTCCTGCAGCTGGATGCAATTTCTTCTGGGTTCCATCAGTAATTCTCTATTCATTTGCCAAAGAAATTCACTCCCAGCTGTTCTAAGGAGCAGTGGACCAAATCTTTATAAAATATTCAAAACCTATCATACGCCGTGCAAGTAAATTAGCTTGCTGTAGATTAGTTTTTTTTTTCCAAGCAGCATATAAAAAGTAATGCAGTTAGGTCACAATCTATAATGATTTAGTTTTACTTTTATTTATATAGAGTTGACTAAATTAAAATACTATTGCTGTACAATAAAAATTTAGTGAAATGAGTTTGCATGTGATGCTGATTAGAGTGTCTGTTAAATTGGGCCACCACATGAGGTCTTTTAATGACTGAAGACCCGTCAGCTCTTGGTTTTTTTGTTAGAAATGTCTTTTGTTTTCTCCTTTTAGATAAAGAATTGTATTACCCACTAATGGATGTAAATTGGTGGGCAGAAAATGCTGTGATCTTGGCTCGCTGCTCTGGTGCTTTGACTGTGTCTTCTGTGAAAACATTAAAAAACTTATTGGGGAAGTCATGTGAATGGTTTGAAAGTTCCCCTCAGGTCACTTCTTCTCATGATGGAGGATTTCTAAGTCTGGAGGTAAAACATATACTAACAATACTAACCAAACAAAACCCGACTGGAGTATAATAAAACCTTTCTCTTTTTTTATTTTGGTAATATGCGCAACTTAAAATGTTTATACGAAAGCTGACCATCTCTCCTACCCTAATAACAGATGCTAAATGAAATCTTGTCTTACTGTGTTGTTGTTTTTACAAATTGTTTTGTCATATGTACTCTGCTGGACTATCCTAAATGATGGAAGCTAGCAACATTGGTCAAATGAACAAACTAGTTTAGATTGTTATTTTTAGTTGCTTCCTTTCTGACTAAATAAACAAGGCCACATTCTATTGAGATATTTGCTTAGTTTGAGTGTAGATTCTTTGATTCAGTTTTTTGTTACTTGGAGAAAATGGGTTTTCTTCAATCTATTTTAATCAGAAGGAAGAATAAATCTTGTCCATATGTATGTAATTTTTTTCATTCTCTGATCTGTATGAAAATTATTTATAAGTTTGTACAACCATGGCAATTCATGTGTGTATTAATATGTATCAGATTGTATGAAAAATCATGCAAATCTGTTATCCTTCCTCAAGTAAAACTCTTACTAGCCTAGAAGTCCAATGGATAGTTAGTATGTTTTACTTTAGTGGGGAATGCAGACTTTATTCCTTTTTCAGAAAAGAAAAAATGCTATTAAAAGCAAACTATGTATAATGTGGTTTTTGTAAAGTTTTTCATGTGTTTAAATGACGCTAAAAAGCTTCCTGCCTTCTGTAATATATAATTACAGTTTTATTTCAATCGAAGCAACTAAATCTTTGATTTCCCTTTACAACTGTTACGACATGTTGGATTTACAACATAAGAACAGACAAATGACCATTCTGGGTCAGACTAGAGGTTCATCTAGTCCAGTAACTTGTCTTCCCACAGTGGCCAATACCTGTATTTCACAGTTACTTGTTTCAAAACAGCGTGATTGCAATATAAACAGGTTTGATCACATGTAGCATGTACCGTGTAGAAATAATGTTAACTGAAAGACCTGAAAAGCTTCCTATCACTGTCTTCTTATTGTTCTTTCAGGATGTTAACATTCAATTAATCAAAGAGAAGCTTAGTACATTGATACAAAATTCCAAATAATGACTAAATATGTGACTTTTCAGTATGCATATTGCTTAACTCATGTTACCTACTTTTTCTGCTATCAGAACTGATATGGATTTCCTCTTAGTTCCCCAGTCTGTATGGCTGCCTGCCTTTTTTAGAGGACACTGAGTCTGACTATTAGCCTATTTTGATTTATGGAAGTAGTTTTGTTCAGTGGGATTTGGGTCAGTTCTGTAGGGGAGCCAAGACGCAGCCTTAAAGTACAAATTACAGGTTACAAAGCTAATGTTTTAAAGTTCATGAGGGGAGAGTTTGAGGGTCCTTCATCCTGAAGTTGATATGAATAGTGGATACTCAGCATTTCCCAGAATCAGGCTGGAGCAGAGTAACAACACAGTTTTAACAACATATTGCTTTTCCATGTAGTGTGAGATAAAACTGGCTTCAAAAAGATTACGCTTGGAAAGCAGGCCTGGGGAAGAAGACGAAGGCGAAGATGACTTTGACTCAGATGACGAAATTTCTGCCAAGGCCAGATACTTCAGTTACGTAAAGCAAGGCTTGTATTTTGTGACAGAAATGGAGCGTTTTGCTCCTCCACGAAAACGTCCACGTACTATTACAAAGCATTATCGCCTTGTGAGTTTAAGATCCACAACCCCAGAGGAGCTTTACCAGAGGAAGGTGAGACATGAGACTAGGACAATGGTGAAGTTTCACCAAAAAACCCCCTGTTTTTCATTGTTTTAGGAAGACCAGGTTTAATATCTTCCCATTTTTTCCTGTTAATACAAGGATCTAGCCATGCATTTCTAAGTTGTGTGTGTTAATATGTATAATATTGCATGAAAAATCCTGCAAATCTCAGTTATCTTTCTTCAGGTAAAACTCTCATTAGCCTTGAAGTCTCATGGATAGTCAATATATTTGACTGAGGAAGAGTTTTTAGCTCTCCAATATGTATATGTCTTTTTGTGTTTTGGGACTGTCTTTTAGCAGCCCCTTAGTGTTTGTGGAGAATGAGATCTTGAGACCTTTTTTTCTTCCATGCACATTTTTCTTTTTCAGTCCCTATTTAATTAGACTATTGTAGTCACTCATTCTCTCTTGACCTCTTCTCCCCCCCCACTCCAATTCACAAATAACTACAAAGCAGCTCCATTCTATCAAAGATGTTTATATTCATGTACTTTGTTTTAGATCGATAATGAAGAATATGGTGAAGCTTTATCTTTGGCTCAAGCATATGGTCTAGATTCTGATCTTGTATATCAAAGACAGTGGAGGAAATCAACTGTTAACATTGCTTCTATTCAGGACTACCTGGTATGTGTTTAAGTTGAAAGAAATTTCTTAATATAGAATCATAGAATGCTAGGTCTGGAAGTGACCGCTCGAGGGGTCATTAAGTCCAGGTACCTACCCTCATGGCAGGACCAAGCACTGTCTAGGATCATCCCTGATAGATGTCTATCCAACTTGCTCTTAGCTCCACTGATGGAGTTTCCACAACCTCCCTAGGCAATTTATTCCAGTGTTTAACCACCCTGACAGTAAGGAATTTTTCCTAATGGCCAACCTAAATCTCCGTTGCTGCAATTTAAGCCCATTGCTTCTTGCCCTATCCCCAGAGGCCAAGGAGAACAACTTTTCTTCCTCCTCCTTCTAACACCCCTTTAGATACTTGAAAACAGCTATCATGTCCCCTCGGTCTTCTCTTTTCTAAACTAAACAAGCCCAGTTCTTTCAGTCTTCCCTCATTGGTCATGTTTTTAATATCCTAATAGAAATTGAAATCATGTTCTAATTTATATAACAAAGTTGGGGCTAATTTCATTGACTCCTAGAAGATTAGGATTGGAAGAGGTCTCAGAAGGTCATCTAGTCCAGTCCCCTGCTCAAAGCATTATGAACTCCAACTAAATCATTGCAGCCAGGGCTTTGTCAAGCCCCGCCTTAAAAACCTCTGAGGATGACAATTCCACCTCCCTCACCCCCAGATAATCCATTCCAGTTCATCACCCTCCCAGTAAAATAATTTTTTCCTAGTATCCAATCTAGATCTCCTTACCTCAACTTGAGGCCATTGTTTCTTGTTCTGTCATCTGTCACTATTGAGAACAGCCTAGTTCCATCCTTCTTGGAAGCCTCCTTCAGGTAGTTGAACATTGTTAGCAAATCCCTCCTCACTCTTCTCTTGGTTGAAGGTACAGGCAGTCCCCGACTTACGTGGATCCGACTTACGTCGGATCCCTAGATACGAACAGGGTGAGGCAACTCCTGCACATGCGCAGCAGCATTCCCGGGGCTCGCTCACCTGGGTCCTAGGATCCTCCTCCTCCTCGGGCCGGCTCCGACTGGGGTCCCGCAGAGCTGCCGGGCAGAGGAAAAGTGCCTCCCCACGCCCGCTGCCCCCCCCCGTGGCCTCGCATCCTGCACCCCTCCCCCCTCCCCCCCTGCCAGCAACAGGCTGCCCCCTCCCCTGAGCAACAGGCTGCCGAACAGCAGACAAAAGCAGCCTCTCCGCCCCTCCTCCCCCTATACATGCTGGGCTCCCTGGGCAAACAAAGACTCCACCAAAACAAACAAAGTGCTGGCCTCATTGTGTTAGCAAAAAAAGGACCCTCCTCCTAGAACCCTGGGTGGTGTGTGGAAATAAAGCTATTAGCTCAAAGCATGGTGCAGAGCTGTTTGGTATTTGATGAGTTACTCCTTTAGTCCTGAGTTTGTCACAGGGACAGAAATAGATGTGAAATCTTCTGAACAGGGGAACAGACAGCAAAACAAACATTAGAGGGGAGTTAACCTTTCCCTATGCTATCCAAAACTAAAAAAAATGTTTGGCTAGAGTTTCCCCTACAATATGTACCAGTTCCGACTTACATACAAATTCAACTTAAGAACAAACCTACAGTCCCTATCTTGTACGTAACCCGGGGACTGCCTGTCTTCTGTTGGCTTATGAGCCTCTGATAATTTAAAGGTGATGTCCCACTGCTAATTAATCCTAACCAATACATTGCAGTTCATTTACTGACAGGTTAGGAGATGCTATAAATAAAAGGAAATTGCAATTTTCAAAGCAAAAATAAAATCTATTTTCTTTTCTTCTTTCTATTGGTTCGTTCCCTTGTTCAGTTCACATTGAGTCTTCCCATTACCAGATTAAATTGACAAGATTCTAAATGGAAGAGAGGCAGATTGGAAAACAGTGATCTCAGTGCTTTGGTGGGTTATAGCATATTGCCCCATGCTTACCTCTCTCTCTCATCTGGGTAGAGTAAAATTAAGAAGCGGTCCTGGGTTCTTCATGAATGCCTGGAAAGAGTTCCTGAGAATGTGGATGCTGCTAAAGAGTTGCTGCAATATGGTTTAAAGGGCACAGACTTGGAGGCTCTCATAGCTATTGGAAAAGGAGAAGATGGTGGCAGGTTTGTTGGATAATTTTTATGTATCCAGCACTTAGGAATTATGCAGTGAATTTGTCAGTTAAATACAAACTGAAGTCTTAAGAGATTTCGCAGGACACCTGGTTTAAAATATTTCCCCAAATGAATAATTGTAACCAGTAGTAAAGATAGCAGTCAAATTCTCCTGTGAATGAAAATAAAGTAAATTGTGATCTTTGAAACTGAATGCAATAGAGACTAAATGAAGATATAGACAATAATTTGGAAGTCATCCCAAAATCTCAAAATTTCTGTACATAGTATTTAAAAATATGGGTATTTTGTCAAAGTAATACAATATAATCATGCCATTGTCAATTATTTTGGTAATTTATTTCAAGATACTTGCTAGCCACTGTCTGTAACAATGCAGACATTAAAAAGGATTCAGGATTTTTTTTTTTTTTGACAAATAGATTCCATACTATGCATATTGGGACAGAATTTTGAGTAATTCATTTAAACTACAATTTAGAAACGTTTTCCATGGCCCTTAGAAATAGTGTAAAGGCTTGGGGAAGTCATGGAGGATCTGAGGAAGAAAGAAGTATTTCTGGAAAGGCGCCTTGGCGTGAACTTGAAGTGTTGTTGCATGTAAATGGGGGAAGTATGGAACTGTTTTAGGGTTAGGAGTGGAGGGGAAGAAAGAGATTGTTAGGGAACCTTCCCCATGCAGACCCTGACTGATTCTTAGTCTTTCTGTCAGTCAGCCATCTCACAACCATCCTGTAATCATGCAATCCTACTCAGTGATCCCATCACTCTGTGTTTCTGAAGCCTCACTCCCATTCAGTCCCTGCCCCAGTTGCTTCTACCTGCTAGCCCCTCTGAACTGCAGTCTGTAACGCCAGCAGCCCTAGATTCCCCAAGCTGTCTGGGTCCCCATATCTCTTGCCTCCAACTTTATGAAGAAGGTGGCTTCTGCACTGTCCCTCTCTGTGGAGTGAGCTGTTTCGGGAGCAACTGCTCTCTATTCTGGCACAAAGAGGTCCTTGATTGGCAAAAGGTGTTGCTCTAGCACCTTTCTGTCAGAATTATCATCTGCAGGGAGGGAAATGACAATTTTGCACAGCACATTAATTCTGTGCATGTGCAGTGGCACAGAATTTCCTTAGGATTAAGTGTTGAAATGGCCTGTTTTTAAGGCAGAACGCTGCTTTTGCCTTAATTCTTAAGCTGTGTAGGTTAAACAATCAAACAAACAAAACTCCAGGGAAACAGAACGTAGTCTGCTTCTGTCTTCTGTACAGAAGATTGAAGAAGACACACAAGATGGTCATTTTTGTTGGTAGAACCATAGAATACTAGAACTGGAAGGGACCTCAAGGGATCATCAAATCCAGACCTCTGCCCTTGCGGCAGTACCAAGCACCCAATAACTCAATACAATGGTGAAATATAATTTCTTCTTGAGTTTGGGATGTCCCATTTAATCAGTTAACCAGTTAAATGGAGGTGGGACTGCCTGGAGCATGGTGGGACCGGCCGACCTGGAGCAGACCCCACCCTCCAGCCTGGCCAGGCCTTCTTTTGCACCAGTTTACTGGTTAACCATTCACATCACTACGTGGGGGTATATGTAATAACTAGGGATGTTAAGAAACATGTAATTCATTAATCATGTAGTTGAGAAAAATATTTTTCGACTACATAATTAATTGATAAGGGATAGTACTCAGTGCTGGCTTATGCTGGGTCCTGTGAGTTACCCCTGCTGTGGCTCTGCATTGAAAATATTTTAGAAGCTGGGCAAGCAACCTGGCGCAGTCACTGCTTGCATCTAGTCCTGGGAGCTGTCCCCACAGCCAGAGCAAGTTCTTGGGATCTGGCACAAACCGGGACTGAGACAGGCTGCCTGCCTGCCCAGCCCCTAAATTACTTTCCCTGCAGAGCTGAAGTGGGGCTATCTCTGGGGACTTAGCGCCAGCCGGGACTGAGACACACTGTTGGCCAGCCCTCTAAAAACTTTACTGGTGGGGGGTGGGATGCCTGTAGTCGATAGCATTAATCAATAAGCTTTTGCTTGTCGGTTAATGCTATTGGATAATCGTTTAATTGTGTGCACTATTATATCTCCAGTAATAACTGCCATGTATATCAGTATGTGCTCCAGCAGTATTATCAGGAACTTGATAACTTGTTGGATTTGTAAACTTTTAACCAATGAAAACCTTGTGCATTTTCTGAAGTAAATGTGAACAATACCCTCCCTGGTATTTCTGAATTAAGAATACATCACTCAAGCTCAGAATAGCAAAATTGTTTTCCAAGTAATTAATTCATTGTCACCGGTTTCAATAAAAATCAATTCAGATACAAAAGGTACAGACAGAAAGTTGTGTAACCTCTGACTGAATAACAAGCTCTTCATATCTTTTTGTCAACATTGATTTTTGTTTCTTTCTGCAGATTTATCTTACCAGGTGAAGTGGACATTGATGAAATCCCCTATGAAGAATTTTTGTCACCTGATGAAGAAGTAGAAAATAGAAAGGAAAGGGAGGCGAGGAAGCATCAAGAACTGCTTCTATCAGTGAACTTTTCAAAGTAAATAATATGACAGACCTAGGTTTGCTTAAATTCATAGGCTTATAAATGCATAATTGTCTAAATATATTTTACTACTACTGTGGACTGTGGTTAAAATTTTAATCAGTAATCTAATATGAAAGTTTTCAGTTTATTGAATTTCCTTTTGTGCTTCCAATATATGGATCTGGTAAAACATTTATTTTCTTCTTCTTCTCTTGTGTTCTTGTTGTCTTTGAATAAATATTTGTTTCCATAGAAGTCTAATTTTGAAAGTTTGGCTATCATGTTAATGTGCTATAGCAAGCTTGAAAATGTAGTGATCTTTTTCTCTCTTTGAAAACAGGCTAACACTAGAACAAAAGGAACTTTCTCGAAGCAGGCTGAAATTATTAACCTATTTAGATAGACTTGCAACTTATGAGGTGAGAAGATTGGGTTCAGTCCTTAGATCCTGTCTTATGAACAGCTTATGTTGTTTCTCTGACTGATTTTGTTCTATTTTCAGTCTTCTCTATTGATTGTTGTTTTATCCTCTATCTGTTAGCAGTAATTTAAAAATATACCTGCTGTGCTTAGAATAATTGAATGGGAATTATACTACAGAGATTTTTGATTGTGAAAATGGGAAACTTAATGTGTCTTTAGGGAAACATAGTGAATGAAGAAAATGGGTTACCACATGGCCCTTGTTGTGGGTCAGTCACCATTCCCTTGGTGACTCTCTCTGGGTCAGAGGAGGAGGAGCCACGCCACCTTACTATATTGCTGGGATCTCACGTCACTTGTTTGGGGAATTAGTCTTAGGGTCCTACTTGTGAATGGTCTGAGCTTGGCCTTGTTCCACTACCCAGGCAGAGAAGGTGGTTCTTCCCTCCCCTTCCCCCCCCCGGGCTGGAGGGAGGCCACGCTGCCTCACTAGACCCTTGCGTTAGTGCTATAGACAGTGTAATAGTTTATGTACAGCCATTCAGGTCCAACTCAGCTATTCTGAGCATTTTTCATGAGATACTGGCAGAAATGTATGAGAACTGTCTACACTACCAACTAAAGACAAAAGCCAAGTCACAGCCAAATATCAATATACCTTTTTAAAATACAGATATGTGAACTTGGTAGCTATGCTTGCTTCTACTAGAAGCAAAATACCTTAATATTTACAATAAACTTATATGGTAGTGTGGCAGTGTACGCTCGCCTCGGCATGTTTCTATGACTATTCCATAGTGCGGTCGCCACTTGATTGGTCACTGGACCCAAGGCTGACTGGCTAGTACGTAACTCACTCGCCCCGTGCGTAATTCTTAGTCCATAGGTAGTCCGATTTGCAGGACTTAATGGCCTACTGGCTGAAGTCAATAAGTGTCCCTGACCTCAGAGCCCCTGGTCAGAGTCAGAGGGTACGTCTACACTGCCACCCTAGTTCGAACTAGGGTGGCTTATGTAGGCATTCGAAATTGCAAGTGAAGCCCGGGATTTAAATATCCCGGGATTCATTTGCATCTTGCCGGGCGCCGCCATTTTTAAATCCCCGTTAGTGCGGACTCCATGCCCACGGCTACACGCGGCACAGAGTAGGTAGTTCGAATTAGGCTCTCTAATTCGAACTACTGTTACACTTCGTTCCACCTCGAACTACCTACTCCGTGCCACATGTAGCCGTGGGCACGGAGTCCGCACTAAAGGGGATTTAAAAATTGCGGTGCCCGGCAAGATGCAAATGAAGCCCGGGATATTTAAATCTCGGGCTTCATTTGCAACTTCGAATGCCTACATTAGCCACCCTAGTTTGAACTAGGGTGGCAGTGTAGACATACCCCGAGAGGTTCTCTTGTTTCGGGGCACAGGGCCTGACAGCCCACGTCATTGAGTGCCCCCAGTTGCAGGGCAGTAGGGCCTAATAGTCAGAATCAATAAGTGCCCCTGGTTTCAGGGCAGTAGGGCCCAATGGCCAGAATCAGTGAGGCGGGGATTTGCCCCTTGTAGGGGGACCCAGGCCTACACTGCTCCATCAAGTCCCAACCCAGGGCCCTATAAGTGTAGGGGTTGCCTACTGCTCCCTCTTGGCGGTGTCTCCGGCTGAAACATGCCGAGAATACCTGAGTGGGAGGGGCAGCTTCTGTACCCTCCCTGGGTTGCTTCCTTCCGGTCCCATTGGGGTGTCGTCCCATGTAGCTGTTGGGTCTCCCAGTTCCCTGGCTGTGGTTTCTCCCTGGGTTTCCATAGGGGTTGAACAGTTGCTGCCATCTGGCCCATCAGCTCCCTATATCTGGACCACGGGCTGTAACAGCACTGGAGCTCAATCTAGAGCAGGGGTGGGCAATAATTTTTTTGCTGGGAGCCATTTTCGAAATGTTTGAAGTGGCCCCCAGACACACAGGAAAGGGTGGGGCATCAAGTGGAAGGGGCGGGGTGAAGTTACTTCTGGGTTCCCTACCTCCAGACAATCTTTAGTCTGGGGGTGAGGGAGTGCCTTTGTCCCCCTCCCCACTATCCACATTACCCCTAGGTGCCCATGCCCCTGCATGGGCGGAGACTTACCGCACTCCCCAGCCCCTAGGACAAATAGGGCCTTGGGGTGGGAGAGCACGCAAAGCCTCCTCTGCTCTCCCCCGCCCTGTGAGCAGTTTGCGGCACTTCAAAGTGCCACATGCTCCTGGCAGGGCAGGAGGAGCTTCAGCACGCTCCCCTGCCCCCAAGGCCAGCTGGCCTTGGGGCAGGGGAGCAGCAGGTCCTCTGTGGGCCGGATCCGGCCCGCAGAGGCCTTTTTGCCCACCTCTGATCTAGGGAACCTTCCCCTTCGCTGGCCAGCCCAGACTGAGCTTCTCCCTGGCCTTTTATACCACCCTAGCACTTTGAGCATGCCAGTCTGCTTGAAGGGGTGGGACTTCTGTTGCACACAGGATTTTCACCCCTCCCATTGTAGTGTGGGGTATGCCCACCCTGTCACAGGTAGTAATTTAAGCTTAGAAGTGTTGAGTTGCTATGCTCTTTGGAGGTTTGAAACTAAACCAAGGATAGGGAACCATTTTTGCATCAGAGGCCCTGACACAGAGAAAAGTCAGTCAGGCGCTGCATATAACTGAGAAGTAAGGGGGGAAAAACCTCTCACTGTGGCCCCTGACTGAGAAGCAGAAAGACACTCCACACATTTCCCTTGCACAACAGAGCCTATGGTGGCTAGCCTAGTAGATTATGTGCGCTCCAGCCCCGTGGGAGGCAACAGGGGAGCTGGAGCACCAGTACTGGCTCCCTAATTCTGGAGGGTCCCCTGAGCCTCGGGGGCCGGATCCAGGCAATCCAGGGGCTGCATCCGGCCCCTCAAACCTGAGGTTCACCACCCCTGAACTAAACATTCAAATATTTTTTCCCAGTATATTAAATTTCACTTAGTTTGCACAAAGATAGTGAATTGCATAGAATCCAAATTGATTGACAATTAAATTCCCAACTGTCCCTCATACGCTTAAAAAGTTGCTAATGATTTTGTCCACTTAAACAGATACCATATACAGTAGACTGCCGATAATCCGGAACCTAGGTGGGACCTAGGTGGTGCCGGATTATCAGATATGCCGGAGTATCAGGAGGTACTATAAACTGGTTATGTATATACTGTATACAGTATATAAAGTGTTCTTAACCCTTTTTATTGTACATACTGCATACAGTATACTGTAACGTTTTAGTTTTTTAAACCCCTTTTTACCCTTTTCGCTCAGTTCAGCTGCTGCCTCTGTTACTTTGTGACTCATTTTTTGCCAAAGCTTACTCACTAGGCTCTTGCCATTTTGATGCCGGACTATCAGGAGTGCTGGACTATTGGATGCTGGACTATTGGAGTTTTACTGTACTTGAAATCTAGAGACTAATAATAATATTAAAAAAAACAGTAAAAAGTTTCAGACAGGACAACTGTTCCTATCATGTTGTGTGTGTATCTCTATGGTTTTTTTTGGTGTGGATGTACAATCATGCTAGCTAACTCTTTTCAACATCTTTCTCTCCTTTGTTGCTACATAGAAAATAAAAAAATGACAGGGAGAGTAATGAATATTGTGGGGAAGTATTGCAAATGATTATATAGAGAGTACTGTGAAATGTACAGAGTAAACCGATGAAACAAAATTTAAGGTGACTCAACAATTATAAGCAAAAAAGCAAACATTTGAACCACAAGTGCCTTTTCTGAAGTTGGTACTGTCTTTTTAAAGTTAAGTGTGTAACTATTACATGTCCAGGTATCGCTTGATTCCAAAAATATTTAGACTTAAACCTTAATTGCCTAACCAACTACTAAGACTTCAAAGATGAATGTTATACTTGTGTATACAGCATGACCATGTAAATGATAGAAATTAACATACATTGCCTCTATCAATAATCATTTCTGGAATAACATACTGAACTATACTAATTTTGGCTCATGTAAGTTTCCGCTCCTAATCTAAGATGCAAGACTTTTAATATGACTTTTATCAACATATTTAAATAATTTTTTAAAAAACTTTTTTAAAGGAAATACTTGGAGGACCTAATGCAGCAGAAGAGAGATATGATGCTGAATTCTTCAAAAAGTTCCGAAATCAGAATATTGTACTTTCAGCAAGAACTTATGCTCGGGTATTAATTTTTTTCTAAAAGTTTTATAGCTGCTTTTGTTAACACTGTTTAACTCCCCATCACAATGTACTGAAATTCATCCAATTTATTGCATTTTTGAAAATGAGAGGTTTTAAAAACAATAATAGTGAATGTTGTATTTGATTATTGTTGTAAAACAGAACAAGATTGCTTTGTCAAGCTTCTGGATTATGAAAATCTTTAAATTTAAATAAATATTTTAGTCCCTCATCTTGTTTAAAAACGCATAATTAAGTCAGAATTGTACTATTTGCTGAGCTATATTTGGTAAGCAGAATAATTCTTTAACTGTTTTCATGTGTAAAACTGAGTATTTTATATTTTCCTATGCAGGAAAGCAACGTCAGAGCCCTAGAGATCTTGTTTACGTATCATGGTTCAGACTTGCTTCCGCATTGGCTGGCAATTATCTCTAATTTTCCAGAAACCACCTCACCACATGAGTATTCCTTTTTGCTTCCTGAAGCTTGGTAAGAAAGTATTCTCTCAATATCTGTTACTGGACTACATTTTCCTTTTTAAAACACATTGAGAGATTTTATTCTAAAAGTGTGGCTGTAAACTTGAAAACAATTTAAAAACTGAGAGACAGTGCACTCTGGAATTTTTTTTTTATTTAATCTCTTTACTGTCTAGTTAATATAGTTTTACACTGAGTGATTTGATAAGACAAAGTGAAGTAGGCAGTAATTAGTGGCTTTCTAATTCTGGTTTACAGAGATTTTTCAGGACATATAGTAAATCTTTAAGGATTGAGAGTGTTTGTACTTAACCTCCTTTCCACATAATAGATCTTATCAGGGGAAGCGTCCACTCAATAAGAGTCTGTTAAAGATATTTCTGAGTTTTTATCACAATGAAAACAGTAAGTTTAAAAGAATAAGTTAATTACAAAGGGTAACCTTTTCAATAATTTCCATTTTCAAGAGTCACCTAGGCGCCTGAGTTATATGAACAATCAGTGTTACTTTACGCTTCTAAATGCCTAAGTATCTCCTGAAAAAGGAACAAAAGCTCCTAAATTTTAGGCAAAATTGTCAAAAGTTCCTGATGAGTTCTGCTGGTGTTTAAGATTGTAGAAAAAATTATAAGATTGTATCTGAGAAATAGAATTTGATCTTGTAATTAACAATCATATTATAATGCACACAAGAGCAGTGTTAAGGTTTGCAATTACTGACTTAAGGATGCTTAAAAATAAAATCTTCATGTTTCTTGATGCAGTTTTTAAATGGAATATTATAGAATATGAGAAGTACTTCGTGCAAAGTGCATATTGCAGTATCTTTGGAACCACTATGGTAGAAAAAATGTGATTCTGAATTTTAGAAAAATAAAACTAAAAATGAATAGTGATCCTACAAATCTGTTTTTCACCTTTAAAATACAGTAGAACCTCAAGAGTTATGAATGCTTGGGAATGGAGGTTGTTTGTATCTCTGAAGTGTTTGTAACTCTGAAAAAAATGTTATGGTCATTCTTTCAAAAGTTTACAACTGAACATTAACTTAATATAGTTTTAAAACTTCACTATGCAGAAGAAAAAAATATGGCATTCTCTTTTTTAATAGTTTACATTTAACACAGTATTGTGCTGTATTTGCTTCCTCTCTTTCCCCCATGCTGCTGTTTGATTTTGTACTTCTGGTTTCAAATAAGGTGTGTGTCATTAAATGGGGCCTGTGTTGTATTCATGCCTGTGTGTGTGTGAAAGAAGCTATTTGTATATATATTTGAATGTATATACAACCACACTTAAGTTGTAGCCCTCAACATGTGCTATGAGTATCATTGTGGCCCTTGGGGCTTCCAAAGTTGAGTAGCCCTGGCTTAAACCTCTTTCAAAACATCATTGCCCTGTAGAACCATCATCCTAAACTCCCAACAAGAATGGAATGGATTTGTAATATAGTTTTTTGGTACCTCCTATAAAAATAGTAACTGCCTGTTAAATTAGTAGGCTATTTTCGTCTCTCTCTCTGTCTCTCTCTCTCTCTCTCTCTCTCTCTCTCTCTCTCTCTCTCTCTCTCTCTCTCTCTCTCTCTCTCTCTCTCTCTGTCTCTCTCTCTCTCATATATATATATTCACCTTGCCTTGCTCAGTTCCTTGATTAAAATAAGATTTGCTTTTCTTCATTTAAATAATTGCTTTGGGTTGGGGATGAGGGGTTCAGGATGCAGGCTGTCCAGGGGAGAAAGTACAATCCCAGCCCTCTTTCACTGCAGCACCTTGGGGCCAGTTGAAAAGGGTCTGTCCATAGTTGCTGCTACTGCAGCTGCAGAGGGCACGTCTGGGGGATAGATGCATTCTCCTGGCTGGGGGGGACAAACACACAGACAAAAAGATGAACTCTCTGAAATATATAGTAGATAGTTATCTTTTTCTCCACCTCTGCCCTGTCCTGGCCCAATGGGGTTATAGCTGTCCCTGTCCCCATTTCTGGCCCCTTGATGCACCCCTGTGGTCATTCTGCAGTATAATTGTCCCTCCAACCAGACCCTTCTCTTTCCATTTTATGAGGCCATGTCTTCACGCTGGGGTTTGATTTAGCAGGTCTACTACAGACTTAAAGCAAACTCAGAGGGCATCCCCATTGGTGGCCGGTATTCCTGCTCCTGCGAGGAGTAAAGGAAGCTAACTGGACCATTTGTTCCCATTGGCCATCCACTGTGGGGACGACTGGGAAACTCGAATCAAGGTACATCTACTCCAGCTATGTAATTAATGTAGCTGGAGTTGTGTGTTTTGTTTGACTCCTTTTTAGTATAGAGCTGGGCTGAGAAACTGTAGAATTGTAGGCACATCCCATTGTCCTGGCACAACCAAACCCTTACCTTGCTTTAAGTTATGATAAAAGGAAACTGCATACCACATTTGGTGGTCCTAAATCTTACTATTCGGGAGGAGTTCTTGAACAAACCAATTTAGACAGACATGCACCAACTCTCAAATATACAGTGTATATATAGTACTGGTTTGGTTTAGTACATTTTATACCATTTATTGCAGTTCATGAATTTTTCGTACAATTTTTGCCTCCTAAAGCAAGGATCCTGTTTTTCCATCCTAACTTTTTTTGTAATGAACTATCTAGTGTATTATAGTGGCTATGGAAACAAGATTAGTGCTGTACATCCCTTTTTGTTATTCTCAGGAGAAGCATAATGACATTTCATTTTTTCCTATAAAAATGAAAAGCTGATTAGACAACATAATCAAAATGAAATTAATGAATGTGTGGTTCAGTCCTACATTGCTTTTAGGGAATGAATATTGAACATAACAGTACTTGGCTTTATACTTTTGAAATAGGTTTTGTTCTTTTCATTAATAAACTGCTGTGAGAAGGCATCTTCAACATTCATAAAATTTGAAAGCCTCTTTAATGATTCTTATATTGTTACAACAGTAACTCTTGTGGTCTTGTAGTTTGGGAGAAGATGAGAGGTTTTAAATTATGCTTCTGGACTTGCTATTTACTAGCTGTGACCTTGGAAAAATCTTTTGAGGCTCGTGAAGATCAGTACCTCAGAGAATTAATCTTTTTGTCTGTTCCCTTAATGTTACTTCATCTGTAAAAAGAGTGATATTTCTCTGTCTCACAGAAATGTTTGAACTTCGTTTATGTTTGTAATGTGCTCTCTAGTGCAGACGAAGTGAAAATATTCTTTTGTGATCTTATTTTTATTACAACAGCACCAAAAAGCTCCAGTTGTGGTGAAGGCCTCATTATGCTTTCGCCTCTACCTAGTAGGCTGCAAACTCTTGGGGTAGTGACTGTTTTGTTAAGTTTGAAAGAATGGGGCAGTGGCCTGTAGATGCTATCCCAATACAAATAATAAATAATATAAAATAAGAATTAGGGATGTTAAATTTAGTTTAATCAACTCATTGACTAGGCGATGGATTTTCCATTGATTAGTCAATAAGTGGGAGAGCCACAGTGGGGTTAGCTCCCAGCCATGGGAGCTAACCCTGCTGCTGCTCTGTCTTTTAAATGTATTAAGGTCCAGAAGGCTTTTAATACATTTAAAAGACTGAAGCGCAGTAGGGGAGATGCAGTGTGAGCTGGGACAGCTGATTCCCAGCTTGTGCCTGTTCCCCCCCTGCTGCTCGCCAGCCTTTTAAATGTATTAAGAGGCAGCAGCCTCTTAATACATTTAAAAAGCTGAGACTCAGTGTCTGGAACTGGGTGCAAGCCTCACCTGCCCCCCATAGAGATGGGGCTGAGGGGAACCGGCTTTTAAGATGGCTACCTCCAGCACCAGCTCCTGCTCCCCGCCCTTTGCTGCCTCTGATAGACGGTGACTTGTTACTTACACTAGTGACTAGTCGCTTACACCGCTAGTAAGAATCAGTCATTGCTCCGAAGCATTTACAATCAAATTCTGATAATAAGAAACAGGGGTGGGAGAGAGGGGCCTGTTGAGTTTGTGGTTGTCTTGGAGAAGTAGGTATTCAGACAGAGGGAATAAGCTCCTTTCTAATGTCTGTCTTAATGGATACAATTAAAACTATTGCCATTGGGATTTGAGATAATCTCAGTGGAAAATAATGCCCTTCCCTGCATTATAAATACATAACCAGAGCTTTTTTCCTTTACTCTTAATTTCTTTTTCTTTTTTACTGCGTTAAACTACCATGTTGCAGCATTATAGCTGACACTTTAAACTCACAAAAGTCAGGGAATTCAAATGTATTGTTCTCCCAACAGCAATAACTCAGTTATATTGCGCATTATATTAGCAGTAAAAATCTACACTTTAAGATAGTAACTTTTATATATATTTCTCTGTTCTTCACTCTCAACTTTCTCAAATATATCTATTGGGCTGAACCTGTCCATACTTGTTTTTAGCTTCAAGATGAATGTTATTGGACTCTTGGAATGAAATCTGCTTCAGCTGCTTGAGATGGGGAGAGGACACTACATTTTAAAACATCAGCATTCCAGTGTGGCAAGCTATCTGATAGGTGACAATCAGTGAGCGGTATGCTTACATTTGCCTTTTCAGAATGAAATCGTTCTACTCAACCAATGTTTGTTATTTCCTGCAACTCCTCTAAGAGTTTCAAAACTCTCATTGCAGCACCATCTTCGTGTGTGTATTATAATTGGTGCAGTGTGAAGCATATAGAGTTTTTCAAAATTGTCCACACAGTGCCAGAGCAAAAGTTTTTTTTGTGACTTTTACTGAAATAGCCATGACAAAATCTTAACTTTAAACATGAGTTGTGAAACTTATTATTGAAAACCATTAGAGGTGCTTAAGGAATGTCATGGCCTGGTACTCAAGACAATGACCTGTAAGCAGTCATGTTTTTCCTGTAAGCCTAGATTGTGGTTAGTCCTACAAAGACATGATGTGACCATGCCATTTGATACTGGAATCCATTTTGAATTATGTACTTTTCACAGGGGTGGAGAGAATTAAGTAAACACTTGGGAAATTCTATTTAAGGAATGGGA